CAGCACATACAACCTCTTATGTGTCACACTGATCGAATTAAGAAAATATGAAGAGTGACGAAAGGGGCCAACTGTTTTTTTTTTTTCTTATATACGTTTTTAGTTATTTTTACCCGAGAAGTATAATACAAATCTATGTCAGTTTATTGGGGAATATTATGTATAGCAAAACACTAATCAAATACCTACTATTTCTTGGGCGTAGTCACAGTAAAAAAGTAGAATTTCTGCAAGAGCGAGCGCATCCTACCAGATAAGTGACATTTCTAGCCAAGATAGCATGCGTATATTAGAATAACAGATTTAGCAGCAACTAGCTTTCACCCCAATTCACACTATACGGCCAGTCTGAGGGTAGAATGGCTACACATTGACAATAACACCAGTCAGATGCGTTCAGATGAATGCAGTGTTTGGTTTCCCCTACATCCACATACCTAATATGGCAAACACACAATGAAAACTTGTTATTAACTAAAAACTATATGTATATATGTACATATATGTGTGTGTGTGTGCGTGTGTGTGGGTGGGTGTGTAGGTGTTTAACGCTCGCGCGCACACACACACACATATACATATATATAAACAAAGTACATACACGCATACATATGTATATGTATGTGTATATATATTTATTTAGATATAAATGTATATATATATAGTATATATAATTTATATCTATCTAATTGTTCATATAATACACTCACACGCACACGCACGCACATGCCTGTGTATATAAATACATATATATATACATATATATGCGTGTGTGTGTGTGTATATATATATATATATATATATATATATATATTCATATATGCCGGGCTCTTAAAGATTTCCATGTACAGTAAATGGCAGTAACGTTTCCAGCGATGACTGTATGTTGGGCTTGGGATAAGAAAGAGAAAATAAAATTAAGAATTTTTTAATGCGATGAAAGAAAATGGAAGATGATGAAGATGAAAGGCAAGTGATTATTTTTATCATATTGATTTATCTATCTACTTGAAACCTACATATTCGTAGATGAGAAAACAAAGTAATCACCACAAGCTGGACGTACCGCAGATATATACTAAGTCGATGATTTTATTTTGTGCTTTTATTCAAAGGCTGATTCATTTTGCTGCTGATGAACTTTGCGCGGATCGGAAAAGCGTTCGGAGATGCACCGATGCTGACAAGACAACTGACAATTCCATGGAGAATATGCACTGCATGAACAGCAAAAATACAGTTTAGAGAGAGAGAGAGAGAAAAAAAAAATCACGAAAATACCCCCACATTAGAAAAACTAAATATGTAAAACGTAAAATAACTGATAAATGCCAGGACGATTATCAAGAGTAGAATGACAATCACTTGTCTTCCCAGTTTTGATCTTTGATATTCAATTACATAGCGAAAAAAAGGATACTTTATCAGTTCTTTTTTTTCAAAAGACTGACTGTATCAAATTTGAAATAAGAAGGATTCTAATAACATTTGTATCCTTATTTTTTGTTGATATTTCAATGCTGGTATATCTAAATAAAGATAATATTCGTCATTAAGAAATTGTTAATGATCACAGTTCATTTCTATATATATCGTGAATAGCCATCAATGTTAAGGAAAGCCAAAGGTATCCAGGTTACACTCAGAGTCGTTGACGGTGTCCCCTTTTTGGTTCTCAAAATATGGTGCTTTATTTAACAATATCACTATGTTACCCATATTTCTCTCCGGATATATAGTGAAGAGAGGTAGACAGAGAGAGAAAAAAGTTACTGGTAGACCAAGAAAAAGAGAAAAGAATAGTCATCCAAAACTGCAAGCATATTCACATGCTCTTACTTTGTGATTGAGAGGTCAAGTTCCACACGGTCAAGGTCGGGCTGCAGAAGGATTCGCTATAAAAGACCTCTCTTCTCCACTGATGCACCACTTACATCCGAACCATGAAGTTCGTAAGTAGTCTACTAACCATTGGTGTAATATATGATATCTATATACCAGTGATCTTCGGATATCATCATTATATTTGTGAACATCAATTGATATAATTAAGACGAATTGCTTAACAGCCTACAAGATTGTGATAATAATATTAGCATTGATAAATAACGTAATGCTAGTAAGTACTAGTATGTAGGTGTGTTTATATATGTATGTTCATATGTATGCAGATACTATACATGCATGCGCATATTTGTAAATGATTGGCAATGTACATAATTGCAGCTGATCATCGCCTGTGTGGCCGCCGTGGCCGTCGCCGCCCCTCAGTACAGCTACGATGGGCCAAGAGCTGCATCCAGCGAAGAGGTGGCCATTCTGAGGGACGACCGCGTCCACGAAGACGACGGAAGGTACAACTTCGACGTGGAAACTGCCAACGGCATTGTCCTTTCTCAGTCTGGCTCTCCCGACGGTGATGAGGGCGCCGTCGTCAAGGCTGGAGAGTACTCGTAAGTGACGTATATATGTTTCAAGACTTGATATCAAACCATTAAGTTAGTACTTCACTTATGCTTTATATATATGTATATATATACATATACATATATATATATATATATATATATATATATATATATATATATATATATATACATATATATATACATATATATATATACATACATACATATATATATATATATATATATATATATATATATATAATAGATTGATAACTTATACTTCATAGCAATATATACCAGTGAAGAGAATACTAGTAAGTGACGTGTACACATTTCGTCGCTGCGCTTCATTTATACTTTATAGATATGTAATGATGATATGGTTAATAAATGAATCCATTATCTTTCTATTTTAGATATACCGCCCCTGACGGTACTGACGTCCACGTCAGATTCATCGCTGACGAGAACGGCTTCCAGCCTCAGTCCGACCTTCTGCCCGTGGCCCCCGAGTTCCCCCACCCGATCCCTCAGTTCGTCCTGGACCAGATCGCCTTCGCCGCCGAGGAGGACGCCCGCAGAGCTCGCGAAGGTCCACGTGAAGCTCCTCGCTCGCTGTATGGCGCACCCAACTAAAAAAAGTTCATGACTGACTTCAGAAATGAATTCTGAAAAGATAATCAAAATGTCTTAACTTATTTTTTGTATATAGAGAAAATATATAATTTCCATGTAAAATGATGTAAATATTTTCCTCTCTATCCGCATTAAAAACACTCCTGAAAAAACAGTACATACAACCTCTTATGTGTCACACAAACAGAAGCAAGAGAATTTGAAGAGTGACGAAGGCAGCCAACTGTTTTATTATTGATTTATTTACTTATTTTTACCTAAGAGGTGTAATACAAAATAATGTCAATTTATTAGGGAATATAATGTATAGCAAAAGACTTATCTAATGCCTACTATTTCTTGGGCGTAGTCACAGTCAAAGAGTAATCTCTGCAGGAGCGAGCGCATCCTACCAGGTAAGTGACATTTCTAGCCAAGATAGCAGGCGTATATTAGACTAACAGATTTAGCAGCCAGTAGTTTTAACCCCAATTCACACTATACGACAAGATTGGGGGTAGAATGGCTACACAGTGGCAATATCATTCAGATGCGTTCAAATGAATGTTTGCTTCCCCTACATCAACATACCTAATTCAACGACCACACACATATTCAATACCTGCTATGAAAAAGAAAAAAAAAGACATTCATACATATATATATATTATGTTTGTATTTATATGCATATGTATATATATGCATTTATACATACCACCTATACATATATATTAAACACACATGCGCTCGCGCATATATACATGATATATATACATATATATATATGCACACATACACACACAGATATATATATATATATATATATATATATATATATATATATATATATATATATATATATATATATTTATATATATATCACAAGCTCTCAAAAAATAATACACAGTAAATTCAATAACGAGGCCAGATATAAAGAAAGAATTTGTTGATGCGATGAAGGAAAAAGGATGGCAATAAAGTTGAAAGGAAATGTAAGACAGATTTTTTTTTTGTTTATTTAGCTATCTATGATTTATTATCGCGTACATAAAACGCGTAGATAGGAAAAATAGTCGCCACAGGAGGGTCCTACTGACGATAGATACCAAGTGCTTTTATGCGCAGATTGATTCATTTTGCAGCTGATAAAATTTACGCGGATCGGAAAAGCGTTCGCAGATGCGCCAATGCTGCCAAGGCAATTGGCAGTTCCATGCAGAGTTTTGGAGAAAAAAGCGGAAAAAGCGCCGCCCCCACATAAGAAAAACTAAACAGATAAAATGTAAACAATATGTCAGGACGATTATCAAGAGTAGAATAACAATAAATTGTCCAAATTGTCTTCTCAGTTTTCATTTTTAATTTTCAGTTACCTTGCGAAAAATGTCTGACCCCCCCTTCCCCCCCAAAAAAAAAGTGTTAGATACCCTATCACTTTTCCTTTTTCCCCAAGACTGATTATATCAAATTTGAAATATGAAGCATCCTGATAATAATTGTATCTTATTTCTTCTGATATTTCACTATTGATATGTATAAATGAAAATAATATTCATCATTAAGATATCGTTAATGATCACAGTTTATTTCTATACATATTGTGAATAATCATTAACGCAATATGGGGGTCAAAAGTATCCAGGTTATACCGAGAGCCGCTGACGGCGTCCCCTTTTTGGTCTTCGTAATATGGTGCTTTATTTAACAATATCACTATTCCTCTCTTAGAGATATGGAAAAGAGAGAGAGGGAGGTAGACAGATAGACACATAGAGACACAGAGAAAGACAAAGAGACGGACTATCAAACCGACACAAAGAGAAAAGAATAGTAACCCAAATCTGCAAGCATAATCACATGCTCTTATTGAGTGATTGAGAGGTCAAGTTCCACACGGTCAAGGTTGGTCTGTAGGCTGCAGGAGGATTCGCTATAAAAGACCTCTCTTTTCCACTGATGCACCACTTACATCCGAAC